GTTCAGTCATAAATCTGCGAACTTCAATCGTTTACAAAAATATTACGATCAAAGTTACTGGAATTCAAGAACCAAAGTGATTATGAACTCATGTTTTTTAATTGAAAGAGGGTATGTATTGTAATTGTGTGGATTCGTTTTTGGCAATAGCTTCGTGGAAGAAATGTCACTTCGTTAGAACAGCTATCGCAGAAATGTTGCATATGTATCAAAGTGTGTGAATTATTCATAATCTCAGTATTACAGTGATTTTAATGTTGTTCCTATTCTCTAATCTAGTATATCACTGGATATCGTATTGGTATTATTATCGTTATTCTAGTATAATTTCACTGAGTTTATCATCTTACAGGGCCATCCCATGGAGACAGCTGTATGGATTCAGAATTGCCATCGTTAGCCGTACTAACAACAGATCGGACGAGTGCCGAACTTTTTGGTCTAAAGAATAAGGCTGCATATTTTATCGAATGTCTAGAACTACTGGGAGAGCGTGATCCTCAACAATTATTGAATCTGATCTTTATTTTTCCGCAGCAAAGTGAAAATCCACGTCCAGTTACATGGCAGTCGGTAAGTAATTTCTTTCCTTCATCTGTTTTCTATTACGGATTCGGGGAATCTGTTTTTCTGACAAAGAAAAAATGTTCCAGATTTTGTAGGAAGAATGTTTTGAGACGAAACGTGACGTGTCTGTGATAACATCTCCGGTGTTAAAATTATTGCCTGATTGCGTAGTAGCGATCAATAAGATTCTGTGGTGTACAAACCAATTGGAAGTAAGGTATTGTCGATCGCTGCCTCGAGTAGTCTCATATAAGGTTTGTTTTTTGAAATATTTCGTTTTGTTTTGCAATATCTGGTGACAAATAGAGAATGGGACTGATGCATTTGTTTTGTATTTCACATCATCATTTACTGTCACAATCGAAATTCAGTACAGGAAGTGGATGCGAATAGTTTTGCTGTAGCGTTAAGGCACACTCGTGGAGGTGCAGTTGCAAGTTTGCTTGGAGCCATCGTGCACGAAATCGGTCATTTATTGAAATTGCCGCATACTGAACACGGGATTATGAAAACTGGTATTTGTCTATTCGCAGTTAATACTTTTCGTTCTTGAACTAATTTCCATTAATGATTGAGCACTATTTTTAGTTGTCCATCAGTCCAGTCGATCTCTTGCTTGGACATTGAATTTGACCCAATGAGACTGGTTTCGTGAACTGATTTTACTTGAATGGATAGAGAATGATGGAAATCATTTGTTATTTTGATGAAAGTTTGAAACGCAATGAGTTTGTTGTGCTGTTTGGATTGAGCATCAGTTTGCAGAGTGGTTCGACTCATGGGACATTTTTGATGTGTTTGTTAATGATCACCAATTGCAGGTGGTGACAACATACAAACTCTATTTCTTTCCGATAAACTCCTCAATTTGGCAATCTCTGAGAGTGATTCAGCGCATCCAGATGTGGCCGTCGAATTTTTTGATGGCGATCAAGAAGTGGTTAGCTTCAGATTTCTCGTCCTCTTTACTCAACTATTTGCATTGCTGAATTCAAAACTTTTCGAAGGGGAACTGATAGTTAGGATGCTGATCATCGTTCGTCTGAATGGAATATCAGCGGAAATTTCGCAGTTCTTTTGCTGTTGTGTTCGTAGATGAATATATTCGTATTTTAGCAAAAACTTTGTTAGAGATAATAAAGCCGTCTTGCATGAACGAATTCAACAATCACATCTAACTTCTGATTGTACTTTTTTGAGAAACTTAGTGCATTTTAGTTCAGTTAAAAATTTGTTGAGATAAGCGATTAAGCGATTCTACGGATTCTTCTTGCTTTGATTTGTTACTTGTTATACTTTTGTATGGCATGCAGTCATGCATTCCAATTATCTAAATATATTGCTGGCAGTCGAAAG